TTGAAAATTATTTTTTATTGTTTTTTATTAAGTTATTTTCAAATGTAATAAGGCCGTTTTGCGTGAATCCAAATATGTTTATATTGATATTATCCCCATTTTATTCCAGTCAGAGGCACAATCTTACTTTAATATGACTTGGGGCGCTTCGAGGTGGTGTAATGGTTAGCAAGCTTGTCTTGCTAAAACAATTACGACTGAGTAGTGAGTTCGATCCTCACTGGGTGCCCCATACTTTCGGCCTTGTGCCACACTTAATCTATGCTTGGAAAATCAACACTATAGTATGATTTCAGTTTTTAGCAAAATAAAAAAAAAACAGGAATAACAACTCAAATACGTGTACCCAATAAAAATGACGTTTATACAAATAAAGGTATAATGCTGAATTAAAAAATCTATTCTAATATATATATATATATATATATTATAAATTAATTGATTTAAAATATGTTTTTTTCCGATACACAGTTCTAACCATGTTTCAAAAATGGAAGGTCCAAATTTAATTTTGTAATTAAATTAAAGACATTAGTTCCATTTCATCCTCAAGCGAATTTTGGAATAACTTATAAAATTACTGGGTTTTAAAGTCAGCAAAAATTATAATTTACGTTTCCAAGGAAACAAAGAAATTCATTTCAACCAGACGAGGGATGTTTGCGTATTCATTATGTCTATATTTTGATGTATCAGTTTTGGTAGGGGTAGGGATGTATTCTTCAATGAAATCTGACATCCGTTAAATGCATGTCGTCTGGATTTTTTTTTAAATTTTATTGTTAACGGCAAAGATTCTTACAGTTCTTTCTTTATATATATATATATATTGTGTGTGTGTGTGTATGTGTGTGTGTGTGTGTGTGTGTGTGTGTGTGTGTGAAAATATATAGAAAATAGGAAGGAACTGGTTAGGTAAATAATCCAAAGTCCCTTAGTATTTTAGTTATTTTTAAAAATAGTGCTCGATACAAAAAAGTAGAGCATAAATATAATTATTTATTTAAAAATATGATTCAAAAAAACGCTAAACAAGAAAACATTAAGTCTCATGTTTCAAAAAAAGAAGCCGAAAAAAACTTCAATATAATTATTTAAATTAAATTGAGTTAAAATAAGCTCTGTTCCATCTTCAAGCGAAATTTTTTTAGATTCTAAAAAAAAAAAATTTAGAGTCTTGAAGATGGAACAGATGCTGAGAAACATTTTAACGAATACCAAAACATTGTCAGTAAATTCAAATAATTATTTTGAAGTTTTTTGTTTTTATTTGTTTTGAAACATGAGATCATGTCTCCTCTTATGTCGCGATTTTGGATTTTCATCAAACTTTTGAACAATTTTTTACATAAATAAATAATATATATATATATATATATATATATTACAGTTCAAAAGTTTTAAGTCACCCCCAGAAGTAGCATGGGATGAACTTGACAGAAGAGTAAAAAAATTAAAAAGAGTTCTTAGAGTCGTTGACAAAACAATAGAATCAATAATCGAAACTATGCTATGAGAAACTTTTGCATCGAATACCAAACATTGGGGCTGCAGTAATCAAGATTAAAGTAAGATATTTTGACGAGAGCAAAATTCAATCATGAAATTTTGTTTTTATTCTCGTCATAACAAAATTTCTCATAGAAGATCATGTCTCAACTTTTTTTAACCATGTATAATAACATTCTTGTTCTTAAAGTACAACAACTACTTTTTTTCGGCCAATTTATAAAGTTACCAGGAGTGGACTCAAACTTTTTGAACAATAGTGTGTATATGTACATATATATATATATATATATATATATATATATATATATATATATATATATATATTTGCAATTTGGATTGATGTGAGTTTGTGATCCTGGGTTTCACGCTTTTTGCGATCGTCAGACAAACTGATTAATTTTAAAAAATTTGGGTTTATGTAGATTGCGTGTATTGGTGTTATGATGGGGATAGATAGGGAGGAATCGTCGTCGTGATGTCATCGTGCTAACGCAAACATAGATGCATGTCCATACAATCAGATGAGATACGCAGACACACATAAACACTTGCCTGTATGTCGGGACTCGTTTTCTTCCATATATAAACATATGTGGACAGTTTCGGATTTGACATATGTATGTATATGTAGGGTGGTGTTGTGTCTATACATACGCATTTTGTATGTTGAAATTCAAAGATTGGAAGTGCAGCGAAAATTTCTCGTGAATGTATACATGCCAAAAATCAGAGCATTTATCTTTTTTCATTGAATAAAATTTCCTCGCATGTATGTATATACGTGTGGTGGGGTCTAATGTAAAATTATGATAGGTAGATAGATAAAATTATTATTATTTTTATTTTTTAATTTTTTAAAAAAGGGTTTATTTTGTTATTATTTTAAAGCTGGTTATTTCATTGTTTTGATGATAGATAGATAGATGTGTGTATATGTAACTGGTAGAAAATTCGGTTTGTAATCCTTATTGGTTATTTTATTTGGTGG